TTGTTTTGTTTTGATTTGATTTGATTTTTGCACTTCTGATGTAGAACCCAGGATGCGACATATGCTAGGCAAGTACTCTACCACCAATCTATGTCCGAGGTCCAGAAGTATTTCTCTAACTCATGTAATTGTGTTTTCACACTACGGATTTTGAAATATCTTCACAAAACAAAACAAGGTCAGCATGAACTTAGATTGAAGACTCAGGTAAGCTTTCAGTCTTCCCAGTGAATTCAGAAGTTTCTTTCAACCCTTGTCCTCATCTGTCAGATGAACAGAAAACTCTTTTGATATCAAGAGAGATGGTGTGTGTGGAAGCCAACTGGCAAAAATCTCTATAATGAGTCAATATACAATTAAATAAGGTTCAAGACCTAAACATCTTCAAAGCAAAAAATAATCAACTATAATTAACAAATAGTAATAGCAAACACTCATTGAGCATTTATTGACAAATAGTAAATATATTTCACACGAATAATTTCATTTAAGCATCTTAACAATACAATGGCAGGGATATTGTCTGATTTTTATAGAGAAGACCAGAGCCAAGTTCTAACCCCACCCCACCGTAGTATATCCCAAAATAATCAGAGAAAACTACCCTGTAAATCTATTCAGTTAGAAATCTGATGTTTTCAGTACTAACAGTTGATCATTTCAGAAATAGCTCTTGCTGCAGTTAATTTTTAAAATGAAATTACTTTAAAGAAAAATCGAAACAAATATACAACAGTAAATACATTTCAGAATACTCATATGACATAATAACGTGAACAAATGTATAGCTTAGAAACAGAAGTATTGTGAGTCAAAGAACAGAGGCATACATATTATACAGAAAATAAAGATTTTCACAAAAATAATGTTTCGTGCACAGTGGAGGCTAAAAAGATAGATTTGTTGGAAGTTTTATATATTGTGGCATTTTCCACATCTTCTATAGTCAGTATTTTGTCATGTTTAAAAACTGTAACTACTAACATGATCATGGGCACTGAAATTCAAAGTGATTCAGACGCATCTGACAACAGGTGAGCAGATAGTCATAGAGGCTGAGAAAATAATTCTAAGTGTAGTGGCAGCAGTGGCCCAAATCCAGAGGTATGATAACGGGGTGAATCTCTTTGGAGAACAAAGGAAGAAACATTTAAAAATAAAATCATGATTCAGTATTGACACTCAGAGTATCCCATTTTTGTGACTATTTTTCCTGTATCAAAATATACATGCTAAAATATTGCTTTTCAAGGATTGAAGTATGGATACACTGTCATTAAGCATGTCAGAAAGCCAGAGCACTGAAATGTCCAAATGTCATATTTTTATGAAGGTAACCAAAAATAGGCTAGCACTCCAGAAATGCTAACATACAAAAACATAAGCTGAAATTCTTTACATACATGAAAAGAAATCAAAAAATAAATTAAGAAAATAATTCTCTTCATAATAGTATAATGAAAAAATCCACTTGGGAATAAGTTGAACCTAGAAAGTGAAATATCTTTACATTCAGAACAACAAGATACTTATGAAAGCATAAATAAGTGGAAAGTCACTTGCATTTAGAGACTGAAAGAATTAATACAAATACACTCACATTACCCCCCCAAACCCTTACATACAGTGAAATCTTTTTTTTTAAACTGCTACAGTATAGGCTAGAAAATTATAGCCCACAATACATAGGTCAAATTAGAGTCATGTTTTCAAGCAGGAAACCAAGAGCGGGCTAGGTTACCAAAGGTCATCACAACATTTTTTATGTGCATTGATGTTTTGTCTGCACGTCTGTCTGTATGAGGATGTCAGATCCCCAGGAACAGGAGTTACAGACAGTTATGAACTACCACGTGGGCACTGAAAATTGAACCCACAATTAATGCTCTCAGCCACTGAATCATCCCTCCAGCATGGACACAGCTTTTTTTGTTTTTTGTTTTTTTGTTTTGTTTTGTTTTGTTTTGTTTTTTTACGAGACAGGGTTTCTCTGTATTGTTTTGGAGGCTGTCAGTCCAGCCCGGCCTCGAACTCACAGAGATCCGCCTGCCTCTGCCTCCCTAGTGCTGGGATTAAAGGCGTGTGCCACCACCGCCCGGCTGGACACAGCATTTTTAAAGCCAAAGACTACGCAAACCACAATTGTACTAATCTTCAATGAGGATCAGAATAACTTCGCAATATCCGTTCTGGCAGAACATGTAACTATTTCAGATACAGCATGACAATTCCTTTTATTTATACCTGTATCAGTTATTTTGGCTTATGTTTAGCTTGAACAAACATTATTTTGGTTAATACATCTGGCCCATGGTCATAGTCACAGACAACGCCAAGTGTGTTGCCAAGACAAATATGGCTGTTGGGGAAGAACAGACACAAAATAGAATTGGGACGATATGACATTACCTGAGTTAATCTAAATCTTAAAATGACATTTTAGGAATGAAATAACTAAAATTTGTAGGGGAATACAAAAGATGCCTAGTGACCAAAAATTTTAAGAAATAAAAACAGGACAAGACACGTTTTGGGAGACTTTGAAATTATTATAAGTCTGGAGATGTCAAACGAGTGTGGGACAACTGCAAAGGATATATAAACTCACAAGACAGAACAGAGAGTCAGAACCAAACCTACACATGTGTAGGCAACTGATCTTTAGCAACAATGCTAAGAATACAATTAGAGAATGGTGGCATCTTCAACAAGCAGAACTGGGGAAACTGGATACCTACAGGTAAAAGAATAAAGTTGTACCTGTGTTCTATAATTATAAAACATCCACTAGGAAAGGATTACACTAAAGTCCCCAACCAAGAAATTCCTAGATGACATGGGGACAAAGCACTCTTGCATAAGATTGGCTAGGACGTTTTGAACGTCACAACAAAAGCAAACAGCAAAACCACAAAATGAATTGTGAGACTGCAACATATTAAAGAGCTGACACACAGGAAAACAAGAGCCAACAGGCTGAAAGGCAGCCAGAAGAATAGGGGAGAATATTGATAAAATACCTGTGATACAGGTTAATACACAAACCTTGATGAAAAATCCTAAAACTCAGTCAACTAAAACCCATACACAAAAAATTCAATTTAAAATGGACAAGAACTATAACATTGTTTAAATGAGTTTTTAAAACCCCTCCAAACTCCCAATAATCAACAGTAAGAAAAAAACGCAACATTATTAATAACCAGACAGAGAAACACAAATCAAAACCACACCGCTACATGTGCTGTAATGGCTGATGACTATTTCCAACAAGACAAGAGATAAGTGGTAAAGATGTGGGAAGAAGGAGTATTTGAGCACCGTGGGTAGGGATGCAGGTTGCTACAGCCAGAACTATTGTAATTCTGAAGAAGGTCATTAATCATCAGGGTAAAGAAACACCTATAAGCTCACTGTGGAAACATCCTACGTAGCTGGTCAAGACATGATATCACCTTGAGTGTCCATCAGCAGAGGTGTGAAGAAAGAAATGTAGTCTACATGAACGAAGGAACACTACTCATCGTTAAAGGAAACCTTGTCACTTTGGAAACCTGCATGAAACTGGAGGGCTTTGGGCTAAATGAAGCAAGCAAGATGCTGAAAGAAAGGTACTGCGTCATCTCACTCACTTGTTGGCTCTGGAAGTGTTGCAGTGATAAATTGGCGCTGGTAAGACATATACTGACGTGATGAATCAGCCATCCAAAACACAGCAACGTGATTTACAAACAGGTTTAACAAGAAGAAAAAGGAAACAGTGCTACATGGCTCACGTCGGACTCTCTAAGTGAGTGAACACCTTTACTCTCCCCTCCACACAGATGTACCCAGAATGGAGCTGTGGGTAATGGCATGTATGCTGGCCCATGATTTTGGCCATCAACATGTGGCATATCACAGCACATCGCACACCTGAAATATTTTTGTCCACTAGACTTCAATATGCCTAGGAAAGCCAAAAGCCAAAAAATATTTTGATTCATTATGATTTCTCACACGTGTGATGATTTTCCTCTTACTAGTTTTTAGAGAAGAAAGTGATGTTGCTTCATATATATTATAAAATATTATCAGACAGTTTTATCCTTGTATCTGCTTACTGTTTGGAAAAAATTTATTTTCCTTTCCTGGCATTGCTGAGGACTGTACCCTGCCCTTGTATACGCTAGGCAATCTCTGTATCACTGATCTATACACCCAGCAAGAATTTATTTTCCAGTTGTAAAATGCTTTAGCTTACTATGTTTATCCCTCTAAACTTGCCTGTGTTCATATTATCAAATCTGACTATCCAGGAGAAAAATGTTAGCAGAATTTTTTAATTTTGTGGATTATTAAATATATTCTGTATAGTTTCATTATAAATGAAATGTCCCCAATGGTCTCGTTGTTAAAGGCTTTGGCCCTTGCAGACAGTGCTATTCTGGGAGGTCCTGGAAACTTGCAGAAATACATCACTTGAGGCATGTCCTTGTTTCCAGCTTCCTTCTGTGGAACTCTGTCCTGTTTCCTCTTATCCTCACTTCCTTTCCATTATGTGTTTGAATACTCTGATGCCAGGAGTCAAAATAATTCCTTTTATTTTCAAGGATTTGTCATACCAATGGAACAAGTAACTAACCTACTTATCTAGATGTAAATTTTTGGTATATCAAAATATATATTTTAAAGTAAAAGCTGAAATTATCTTTATGATCTCCAATTTAGAAACAACTTTAATTTCTTTTGACTGCCTTTCCTCATATGGATTAACTTCAGATAAAAATAAATTTGAGGAAAAGGGCTTTATGGTGTAGCAGACAGTAAATTACGTGGGTGAATGTGCTCAGCATAAAATTTATGAGTGCATGAAACTGACCTTATTTAATAAAATGCAATGTGTAATGAGTATACACGATTAAATGATAAATAAAACGAGAAGGCAAAAGAAGAAACACGGAGGAAACCAAGGAGAGAAGAAAGGAAGGCGTGCTGGAAATGAGAGCCAGAGCACTCACGTCTGTGGAACAGGTCCCAGTACTCGTCGATCTGGCTCTGTGTAGGAAAATGACCACAATCGTTGAAGTACTTCAGCAGTTCGCTTCTTTCTAACCCTTGCCAGTCTTCTCTCTTGGCAAACATGGTTTCATAGACTAGAAGCCAAAAGGGTAAAATAATAGTTTCTTTTACAAATAATGTTTCAAGGATAAGTCACGCTTCCCACCTGGAAGCAACTGTAGTTCCGGGTTTATCTTCACACCTATGTGTGAGTCTCTGGGACTATAGCATCAGGGTTAACTTCACACCTATGGGTGAGTCTCTAGGACTATAGCAACAAGGTTAACTTCACACCTATGGGTGAGTCTGGGACTGTAGCATCAGGGTTAACTTCACACCTATGGATGAGTCTCTGATACTGTAGTATCAGGGTTAACTTCACACCTATGGGTGACTTTCTGAGACTGTAGTATCAGGGTTAACTTCACACCTATGGGTGAGTCTCTGAGACTGTAGTATCAGGGTTAACTTCACACCTAAGGATGAGTGTCTGGGACTATAGCAACAGGGTTAACTTCACACCTATGGATGAGTCTCTGGGACTATAGCAACAGGGTTAACTTCACACCTATGGGTGAGTCTCCGAGACTGTAGCATCAGGGTTAACTTCACACCTACGGGTGAGTTTCTAGGACTATAGCAACAAGGTTACCTTCACACCTACGGGTGAGTCTCTGAGACTGTAGGATCAGGGTTACCTTCACACCTACGGGTGAGTCTCTGGGACTGTAGCATCATGGTTAACTTCACACCTATGGGTGAGTCTCTAGGACTATAGCAACAAGGTTAACTTCACACCTATGGGTGAGTCTGGGACTGTAGCATCAGGGTTAACTTCACACCTATGGGTGAGTCTCTGAGACTGTAGCATCAGGGTTAACGTCACACCTAAGGGTGAGTCTCTGGGACTGTAGCAACAAGGTTAACTTCACACCTATGGGTGAGTCTCTGGGACTATAGCAACAAGGTTAACTTCACACCTATGGGTGAGTCTGGGACTGTAGCATCAGGGTTAACTTCACACCTACGGGTGAGTTTCTAGGACTATAGCAACAAGGTTACCTTCACACCTACGGGTGAGTCTCTGAGACTGTAGCATCAGGGTTACCTTCACACCTACGGGTGAGTCTCTGGGACTGTAGCATCATGGTTAACTTCACACCTATGGGTGAGTCTCTAGGACTATAGCAACAAGGTTAACTTCACACCTATGGGTGAGTCTGGGACTGTAGCATCAGGGTTAACTTCACACCTATGGGTGAGTCTCTGAGACTGTAGCATCAGGGTTAACGTCACACCTAAGGGTGAGTCTCTGGGACTGTAGCATCAGTGTTAACTTCACACCTATGGGTGAGTCTCTGGGACTATAGCAACAAGGTTAACTTCACACCTATGGGTGAGTCTGGGACTGTAGCATCAGGGTTAACTTCACACCTATGGATGAGTCTCTGGGACTGTAGCATCAGTGTTAACTTCACACCTATGGGTGAGTCTCTGGGACTATAGCAACAAGGTTAACTTCACACCTATGGGTGAGTCTCTGGGACTGTAGCATCAGGGTTAACTTCACACCTATGGGTGAGTCTCTGGGACTGTAGCATCAGGGTTAACTTCACACCTATGGGTGAGTCTCTGGGACTGTAGCAACAAGGTTAACTTCACACCTATGAGTGAGTCTCTGAGACTGTAGTATCAGGGTTAACTTCACACCTATGGGTGAGTCTCTGAGACTGTAGTATCAGGGTTAACTTCATACCTAAGGATGAGTCTCTGGGACTGTAGCAACAGGGTTAACTTCACACCTATGGATGAGTCTCTGGGACTGTAGTATCAGGGTTAACTTCACACCTATGGGTGAGTCTCTGGGACTGTAGCATCAGCATTTTGGCTAAGGGCAGGAAGCAGGGTTTCCCTTCCTTACCCATTTCCACAGCATTGAAATTCAGTCTAGCTTCCCATGGAGAACACAGGCCAGGTGGGGGCACTATCTCTTTCATGATAAGTGATCACACAGAACTCATATACCAACATCCAAACTTCATCATAAACTATTACTTGGAATGTTTTGTTTTTATTAAGATGTATTCATAATATACTTTTTCTCATTTTTCATTCTTTTAAGTAAATTAGAAACACGCTTATTTTACATGTCAATCCCAGTTGCTTCTCCCTCCCCTCTTCCTTGCCCCCCCCACCAACCCACATTCCATTCCCTTTCTGCTTCCCAGGGAGGGTGAGACCTTCCATGGGGAACCTTCAAAGTCTGTCATATCATTTAAGGCAGGTCCTAGACCCTCCCCTGTGTGTCTAGACTGAGAGAGTATCCTATGTGGAATGGGCTCCCAAGGTCCATTCGTATACTATGGATAAATATTGATCCACTACTAGAGGCCCCATAGACTGCCCAGGGCTCCTCACTGTCACCCACATACAGGGGTTCTAGATCAGTCCTATTATGCTGGTTTCTAGGAGCTGCCCCTTATTCAGGTCAGCTGTCTCTGTTTCTCCAACCTAGTCTTGACCCTTTTGCCCATCACTCCTCCCTCTCTGCAACTGGGTTCCAGGAGTTCAGCTCAGTGTTTATCAAAGCCATCAGAAACAGACACAAATTACTATTTTACATAGGTGTGTGTTTTTCTATATTTTCAAATCTGTAAATTAAAGCTGCTGTATTCTGGGCCTATCCACATTCCCTTGTAGAGAAGAACTCAAGGCCCTCAGAGATGCCAGCATCTGCATTTCATGGCCATAACACCCTTTCTAGTACAAGGCTTTAATCTTTCCCACACCTGGGAAACAAGTCATAAATCCCAGGATCTTAAGACCCCTGTGGAGTGGCCCTCCAACCTTGCCTTGGAGGGCAGGGAGGGGCAACTAGTGTATGAAGATAAAGCTTTTGAGAAAGTTGGCTCCATTATTTTTATGAATTCTCATGACAGTATAATTTCTAACTTCTATCCGGTCCCTGCTACATTTCTCTATGCCATTAACAATATTTTGGGGAATTTATTTCCAATAATTTAGTTGTACTTGAATGCTTTTCTCAGGATTTGATTTTAGAGAAACTTAAAACTAAGACGGAAAGAATATGCTTTTGTTCTTTAGATAAATGTATTTTCCTTATAAAATCATTCACCTTTACTAATTTTCCCACAATCATTTTAGATATCTTTTATAATAATATCATATCTCTGTGACTATGCAATACTTACTGTACAATATAAAAGTTGGGAAGTACACTGGCAGAATTAATGAACTAAGTTAGCTAACCAATTTCAGTGGAAACATAACTGAAATTGTGAAAATACAGTTTGAGATTATTGAAATAGATCTTAAAAGATACACAGATATTTGCCAAATATCAAACAATTGGCAATCATTGTATAGAAAAGAGAATAATTCTATAAGAAATATGACAAAATATTTTGCAAATTATATTACTCTAGTAATAATGTAAATGCATGCTGTTCATAATTCTTCAAATTATTTCTTTAGCTAATTCTATTCTGCTGCTCAGATCCTATGTTAGACAGAGTACCATCTGTTTACCCTAATGCCTTTATTCTCATATCAGACTAACCACATTGATATGTATTCATATTTTTGGTTGTGAGCCTAGCCTTTAATGGCTGAGCCATCTCTACAGCTCAGTGATATGTATTCATAAACTGCACCATGGTTCTCTGTGTGGAATCTTTAATTGCCTTTACAACCTGACTGAGATTCAAATCAAGAAACATACATGTTATTCAGAAACTTTTAAGACTCTTACTCAATAACCTTTTCAAATAGAAACCACCAGAATCCAGTCTGGAAAAACAAATACCTCATTGGAGGGGCTGGGGTGTATACACAACCATCCATCTGTGTGACCTTCCAAAATAAAAATAAATCAGATACAAAAAAAATAGAAGTCTAATTACAAATCAAAAGGAGAAATCATGGGAGTAGGGATAAAACTTAAAATAAGTTACTATAAAACTGAAAAAAAATGGCATAGTGATAGAATTGAATTTGGGGTATGAAGGTAAGACTTAGTAAAACATTGGGAACACGTTGAAAATACACGTGATGAGAAATTCTTTTATTATTTTTTTTATTTTTAAGTTTAAATTTAAATTAGAAACATGGTTGGTTCACAAGTCAGTTCCAGGTCCCTCTCCATTTCCCTCCCCTCCTCCCGAACCCTCCCCCCAACTCCCCCATTATCCCCTCATTTCCCCAGGGAGGGAGAGACCCTCCATGGGGGTGTCCATAGACTGTCATTTCAACCAGGGCAGGGCCTAGACCCTCCCCCCAAGAGTTCAGGGTGAGAGTGCATCTCACATTGTTGGATGGGAGTCCAAAGTCCATGTGTATACCCGGGTTGAATACTGATCTACTGCCCAAGGCTCAATAGATTACCTAGACCTCCTCACTGACACCCCCATTCAGGGGGTCTTGGTCAGTCCCATGTTGGATTCCCAGGCATCAGCCTGGAATTCAAGAGTTAACCCTTATCAGGTCAGCTGTTTCTGGGGTTAAACCAGCCCAGTCTTAACTCCTTTGGTCATCAGTCCTCCCTCTCAGTTACTGGCTTTCTGGAGTTCAGCTCAGTACTTAGCCATGGGAGTCTGCTTCTTCTTCCATCAGCCACTGAATGAAGTTTCTGTTTCCCAGACTCTCTGGCCATGGGACTGTAGGCTGGCACTCCCCAGATCTATGTCTAAAATCCACATATGAGAGAGTACATGCCATGTTTGTCTTTTTGTGACTGCGTTGCCTCACTCAGGATGGTTTCTTCTAGTGTCATCCATTTGCCTGCAAATCTCAGGATTCCAGTGTTTTTTTCTGCTGAATAGTACTCCATTGTGTAAATGTACCACATTTTCTCTATCCACTCTTCAGTTGAGGGGCATCTAGGTTGCTTCCAAGTTCTGGCTATTACAAATAATGCTGCTATGAACATAGTGGACCAGACATCCTTGTTGTATGAATGGGCATCTTTTGGATATATGCCTAAGAGTGGAATTGCTGGGTCTTGTGGTAGGGATATTCCCATTTTTCTGAGGAATCTCCATAATGATTTCCAAAGTGGCTGAATCAGTTGGCACTT